TGCGAGCGGGTACCCACAGGGGCGGGTTAGATTATCATGCCTACTCTGGTCCGTGAGTTCCTTTCTCTCCCAAACTTCTCTATTTGATTCTTCTTCTCTCCTAGATCACTAATTCCTTCTATCTTTTCTTGAAATTCAGGCGAAGAAGCTTGTTTTGGAGGATTGAAGTCTGTGGGTTGAGCGCCGGGAGTAAATCTTCTTCTTCCTATCCTTGGCCATTCTGAGCCAATCTTCAGATGAGGGAAGCTAGATTGTAGACTTATTGGTTGTATGTGAGTTTAGGAACTCATTTGGAGTAAGAATGTTGAGAATCATTGGTTGAATTGAAGAACTTCTCATTTTTGGGGTTTCAGGAAAATTGGGAATTTGGTTATTTTGATGCATGGTGTGGTTGCATGTGGATTTTGAGGTTGTTTTTGAGTTGTATGGAGTTTATGGGTTGCATTGCTTGGATTGCATGTGGTGAAAATCTTATAATTTTTAGGTTTTTGAAGAAAATTTTGAAGTTTTGGGATTGGCTATTTGAAGTTGCGCCGGGCACATGTTCTTGGTGCCGGGTGTGCATTCATCAGAAGCACCCAGTTCCAACTCATGTCGGGCGCAAGGGTAGTTGCGTCGGGCGTGATTGAGACTGGGAGTCTCTGGACGAAGTCGCGCTGGGTGTGAAAGAATCACGTTGGGCGCGATATCAGATGTTGGCCTTGGGGTTTTGGTTACTGATATGGCGCCGGGCGTGGAGACTCCTTGGGGGTCTCTGCTTGGGATGATGTCGGGCATAGGTTGGATGTGTCGGGCATGGAGACTTTTGGGAGTTTATGCCTGCAAATACGCCAGGCGTGATAATACTACGCCAGGCGTGACAGAGGTTTAGAGCTCTTGGGTTAGGTTCAAGTCAGGTGCAAGTTTACTTGCGCTGGGCGTGAATGTGTTTGGTTCTATGATTGAGAAATGTTGAATGTTGTAGTATGATGAGAAGGTATAGTTGCGAGTTGAAAGTTGTGTATTTGTGTAGAGATGTTGTATGTATGATTTGGATGAGTTGCTTTGTTGCTAAAACATGTTAAACATTGTTGAGGAGTTGTTATGTTGATAAATTGTGTTGTTAAAGTTATGAGTTAACTACGTTGTTTAAGTTGAAAGTTGATTAAGATGATGCATTGAAAACTGTGATGATGAGTTGTTGATCACTAGGACTAGGAGAGATATTTTCAAAGTTGCTCATCTCATTGTGTGGATTGAGAGTGTTGGGGTACTCTAAGTGCCCAATTTGTTGAAAAACCCTCCTTGGGAAGTTGTCCCTTGGAGTGGATGATGTGTTGTTCTCCTCTAGGAGTTAGTTGATCCCGTGTGTGGGCAAGGTCGAGGCACACGTGTACAAAGCAACTACGGTATATGAACAGTAATTGGTATCAAAGTCGATTAAAACACAACATGACCATAAGATAAACATCAAAAGCATTTTATTAATAGAAAACGAGGAAAGAGAAGAGAAGAGCTTAAGTGTGCATAAAGTGAATGCTTCTCAGACTTTTAACATCTAGAACTTCAACAAGAGGCATGAAGAAATTAATGAAACCCCAATCACTCTCATAAGCATTAAACTGATGCGATGTTGTGGGGTCAGGTCAAGCTATACCGATTACAAGTGACCAATTCGAGTAAAGTACGAAGTTGGGAACTTAGTTCCTAATCGAGTATCGGAGGATTGTAGTATTTGGAGGATAGTCAGTAGGCTAATCCCATAGGTGGCTTAGTTAAGCTAGCTAATGTCATGGTAGGCCTAAACCTAGTTGTCCTATCCTGATAGAGTACTATACTTCCTTATTTAAGTGGCAAAGTCTGAGAAACCGTTATCGTGTTGTGGATTGATATCCAAATTTGTTGTTTACCTAACAAGCCCAAAAAGGTTCTGTGTTGTCGTTCGGTAAGACCTAGCCACTTAGACTGCTCACCCACGTTGTAGGAGATCTCCAAGTTGAAATGCGCGACGACGCATAAGTTGTTGATGAGTTGATTCTGTGTGATGCAAGTTGAATAAAAGTTGTTGAGTTGTGAAGCTGCAATTGAGTTGTGTGTTGTTATGTGTTGCATGTTGAACTATTTAGGATGATGATAGTGTTGTTGTGTTGTAAGTTGTTTATACATATGTATATGTTGATTCTTTTCATTAGCTTACCTTTTTGTTTCCATGTAGTGTGGACTGTGATGATCATACGTGGTATGGGAGCAGAGCAGGAATATGCTGGAGAGTAGTAGTAGTGCCACAGGTGGTGCTTGGAGCTAATATTTTGTATAGGCTGCTTTGGAGTAGCATTTTGCTAGTATTATATATACTTTGACTTGTTCAAGGCTGGATATATGTATATATTCTTTTATGTATGTATATTTTAGTAATGTGTGGTGTTGTTTTGCAGTGTAACGACCAGGCGGGTCGTTACATCAGCCAAAATAAAATCATGATTGAAAAAAAAAATAACTAAAGATAATCGGTTATATTTCTTAAAAGAAAAAAATTGGTCATGAACAACACCAGTGGATGCATGGTTATTAAAACAATAAAGAATTGTCTTTAGTTTCAATGATAATAACAATGAGCAGAATCTGTTTTATTGTTGACAATATTAGAAAATAATTCTTATATAGTGTAATGCAGGAAGATAGGTATTAATTAACAAAAAATATTTACACACTTATATTATACACTCTTAGAAGAAAAGAGAAAAAACAATAAAATATTAAATAAAAAACACATAAAATATACATAATATTAGAAGTGAGAAATTCAGCATCATATTGTAAATACAAACATCAATATATAATAATATTTTAGCTCCTGTATTTCACATGACAAATATTTATTATATATAACAAAAGTTATAATAAACTACATATTATATATAACAAAAAATTATAATAAATTATATAGACAAATAAGTATTATATTTGAATATATTAATTATATTTAATTTTTATAAATAAATATTTTAAAACATATAAATTATATTTTAAATTTATTATAAATAATTTAAATTATAAGATAAAATTATTTTTAATTATTAATAATTTTAAAAATATTAAAATTTAATTTCTAAATAAATATTATAAATAAAAAAATTTAACTAGATAAGTTTAAAAAAAATTCTATAAACACTTAAGTAAAAAATAAATCCTTAAAAATGCTAATAGACAAGATAATTTTCGCGTTAAAAAAATATATAAATAAAAAAATAAAATTAGATAAAATGTTAAAAAAATTTCCGCAAACGTCCCTGTTAAAAAAACGAATTTCACGTTAAAATAGTCACATTTAATATAATAAATAGAGGTCGACTACTTTCCGTATTAAAAAATGAATTTGAACATTACACCTTGATCCGTGGTGGCACGTGCTAACACACAACATACCCCAACAGCATGAAACAGCTGCAATGCTTATCACAACTCGATATGTGCATCCGTGTACAACTCCTAGTTAGCAACATATGTACATGAACAGAAGAATCCAAGTCATAGATGACATGACTTAACTAACACTCTTTTCTGAACTAACAGTCAATGAGAGAATGAACTCGCCTCAATGCTATACATCGAGTTATCACTTAAGCTGAAGTTTGGTCTCTCTTCGTTCCACTTCAAAATCTCCTTTGCATATTTAAGTGCTGCATCAACACTATCAGGCTCCAACCCCTTTACCAGGGACACATACAAGTTTCGCCCTGTAAGAGATGAATAAAGTCTCTTGAACTTAACCGCTATGTAATAGGAAGCTAGCTGAGCAAGGGAAGGGCTAGTATTAATGCTGTTCATATTGATGCCAGAGCGGTGTCGACTAACTACTGGACGAAAATCAGATAACCAGTCGCAGTTAGTTAGTGGAATTCGTTCTATTTTCTCCTCAAACTCATCTAATTTGTTTAATATCAATAGAAAGTCCATTTGCTCAAAAGTAGGATGAGTAACAATGGCTTCGAAATGCTTCCTGCTCAATGTCATCTTGTTTGTGCGACAGCCATTTCCATCAACAGAAAACTGATCATAGTCGCTCAAGGAAACACAGAAAATGACCAATCCAACATCCTCAAACATTTCTAACCACTTGCAATTTTCTGCTAGCCCTCTTGCATGTATTGTAATTAGTTGATACCTGTAATCAAGGAGAACAAAATGTGGTACAGATCAGCAACATTTTATGGCAGCTCTGCCAATTGGATCAATCAGGGCTACCCAAAAAAAAATTCTCACATGTAACAATAAACGCAACTATTTTCACCCACCTAATTAAAGAATCATGTAGATCAGCAGTGTCGACGGTTTCCTCCGGAGGTGATTGAGGAAATGAAAACTCTACGCAAGCCATCCCATTTGATGAAGTAACTCCTTCAGCATAGAGGATATCTAAATCCGAGGGTTCATAATCAGTCCTCAATATCTCAACAGCCTAAACAAAGAATTGAAATGTTAGATTCTCAAAGCCACTAACCCAAAAATAACAGTAAACAAAAATAAAGGAAACATTAAAGCAAATTTTGCAACATAGTAAGGGTACAACATAGTGCAAATTTTGCAAAAAAATAATCCTGATGAAGCATTCTAAAGCTTAACGGATGAAGATATAAAGCAGGTTGAGTTTGGTTAGTCATGCAGATGAATTAGTTAACATTAACCAGAAGCCTAAAATTTCAATTCAAGTCTGGCCAAACAAACAAGCCATGAGAGCAGAATCCATATGCTAAGCTCATTTGGATCAAATATATTGAACTTATCATTCATATGTTTCATACATCATAAACTTAAATGAAGTTTAATTCCTGCCTAATGGAGGATCCCATTATCTTAGATAACCACAAAATTTACAACATATTCCTCATTTCTTCCAGCATCACCCAGAAAAAGATATATACCCCACTCTTACATTTTCTGTTATATGCAAGTGAATAGCAAATACATGTCAATTATAGTTCAAAAGTCATGACAACTTAAGTTAACAAGAGTACATGGAATGTTTAAACTGTTGATAAAATAAAAACAAAGAAAAGAAAAGAATTATCCCATACCCGCTCTAAGAAATAACTGGCAACACTGGGTAGCAATTCTATTTCATTTCTTCTTTCATAGGTGGCTTTAATGGCTGCATCATCCCATAACTCCTCAATCAATGGAGCGTATTCACGAGTAGCAGCTGGAAAGATAGCATCAAGCTTGCCCGAAACCATAGTTTTCAGAAGCCAATCAGAAAATGCTTTCAGTCTTGTGCCAATGGAATAAATTGTCTTGTCGCCGAATTTTAGACTGGTTTCTGAACCAAATACCGGGCAATCTTTAGTTCAAATGGACAAGCTAAATGTGAAATCTAATTGTCTCTTGTACAGGAATTTGTAGTCATTTATTATTTCGGTCACTATCATTTAGTTGCATATATCAACATATTTTTTCTTCTTCTTTTGGTTGAAAAAGTATCAACATGTTTAAAGTCTACAAGAACAAAAACTTTTGGCAATTTGAACAACTTGACAGATATATTATAGTTATTGTTCATATGGTTGCTTAAAGGGAAAAATTCTCCTTTAAAGTGCTATACGTGCATATATTATATACACATATGACCATTTTTTTAAAATGCTCATTCCACAGTTGTCACTAGGAAGAAAGACGATACGATTATTTATATTCAAACCAATAAGAATAAGTTAGGTGAAGGGGCTAAAAGACTATAAAAGCTATGAAGTATGAAATATAATGACACTATATAAACACGTATAAGCTTGATAAATACCATTTGGAACAACAACTAATGGTGCACTGTTGGTGGCTTGATATTAAAAGGAAGAAAACATGGCTACTGAAACAAAATTCAATAAAAATTAACATATTTGGAAGGGGTTGAAAGGAGGCAGAAAATAGAACCCGTACCTGTACTGTCAAGCATGGAAGATTGACTTTTCTTCAAACTCCCCAGACTTTCTTCTTCAAAACGCTCGCGACCCTCAAGGAGTATGCCAAGATAGGCATAGACATTGGTCTGAATGGTCAACTTAATATTTTGACGTTCATCTTCAGAGAAGGGGGTGTTTTTGTAAAGAATCTTGGCCTGACATAAGAATTTATAATTCTATAAATACATTGATTTCTTGGCTTTCAGCAACAACACGCATGTTGACAAAAAGCAGACAATGTAGCTAACTGTTGAAAGTAACACTGTCAAGAGTTTTTGGAGCGGGGTTGTTCATTTCAAACTCGAAAGTGTCAAAGGACTCAAAAACCAGACCATACGTATTGATAGGCATTAAATAGCACTTGAAACACCTTTTAATAGTACGAAGTCAATAATGCTTAAAGTTATTGTGTATAATCATGGCATCCACCATTGCTCTTTAAACTTCTCCCGTGTTAGTTTCCTCTCAAAGTGAATTACGAGATGACAGTTTTGATGAGCACGTGCTTACGACCATAATCATATACATGTATCTTCCTCACCAGAGAAAGTTCTAAGAAATGCATGACACAAAACGCAGAAAGAATTAACAACTGAATTATACGATGAAAAATCACCTGCTTAAAAATAGTGCTTGTTCCAGAGCCAGTGTAACCGAGTAAGAGGAGTTTATGAACTATTCCATGCTCGAAATGGTCAGGAATCGGTCTGGTAACCGGATTGGAGGATAGAAACCCACACGAATTTGAACATTTAGAATTAGAACTGGAAGGAACTGGCAGGGACAGCAAAGCACATACAAGCTTCGTTCCAGCCTAACAAGTGAAATAAAAGAGTGTGTAATAATGCTAATTATCATTGGGGCACAATAAAAGAAAAGACAAAAAAAAAAAAAAAAAAGTTACCTTTCCCCAAATACAGCCTTTTGTATTTTTCTGTCCTTCTTCTTGGTATGAACCATCTTCATTGACCCAGAAATGTGGGTTACCAGCACACTGAACTCCTGCCAACTGCCCAACCAAAACAAGATCCTCTCAACAACTTTTATTTAATAATAATAATTAAAAAAACAACAAGCCTTCAAAACTTTTTTATTTTTTTAAATATATTGAATTTCCAACCTGCAGCATCCGAAGTTCAACTTTTGTTATTTCCCTGCCATTAATGAAAACCTGCGTGTTTCCATTGCTAGCATCCGGTTTGATGTGACCCCCAACATTCAGATGCGGACTAATAATTCTACAAGGCTTCTGTCCTTCCTGCAAAATCCACACAAACAAACAATCAGCACAGTAAACTCAAAATCTAACACAAAGCAGCTATATCCCCCAAAAAACACAAACATACCTTCCCCCAAAACCCAGACACCTTATCATACCAATAGTTCCCCGGCTTCAAATTCTTCGGAGGATTAGAACAACTCTGCAACGTAACAAGTTCCTCAAAAGAAAGAGGGTTCCCATTCACACAAACATACTCAGGCGGAAGCTGGTTCACTTCACAAAACCTCTCCGCCTTCATTACTTGTTTAACCTCCAAATGATTAAGCAGTCTCCTCAAAATCCGAGAGCATTTCCCCAAACTACCCCTCTTAGACTCATCAATCGGAAACCCAATGCAACCAACGCATTTTCTACCTTCCGGCATCGAACCCATCGCTCTCAACACACAATTCCCGCAATACTTAGCGTCACACACGAGACACACTTCCTTCTCCGTTAACCTATTCCCCTTCAAGCAACGATAGCACGACCCTTTCTTCCCCTTCCTCGCACTCTCTCTCTTAACCCTCTCTTCCGCCTCGCCGCAAAAACTCTCCGCAGGTCCTCGTTCCACGTCGCATTCGGCTTCGTTCGTTTTCAGAGGAGAAATACAAGACGATGGATAATCGGAACTCAACGTGGAAGCGTAATCGCGCTGGCTCGAATCGTTGAAATCCGAACTCTCTTTCTCTCCGTTCGAGTTTCTCACTTTCCCTAAATTGTCCGAAAACGAGTTCTCGCTGCTCAACTCGCACGCGTCGGTGGTTTCCGCGGCGGCGTCCGCGAAGGCGATCACGGAGGTCGGAGACACCGTCGTTCTGGCGGCGCTCCGGTCGAAGGCGATCACGGAGGTCGGAGAAACCGCGGGCTCGGAGTTCGGCTTGAGCTCCTTCGAGAATTGAAGCTCCGGCGGCGAGAGCGGCTGCACCACCGGCAGAGACAGAGCGTCGGAGAACGGAACCTGCGCGACCGCCGCCACCGCCGGGAACATGTCGACGGCGATGGGCAGCGCCTGGGGGATATCGTACGGCGGCGGCGGTCCGGTGTACGGCACGGCGAAGGAGTAGTCGGAGGAGACGTCGGCGAGCAGCGTCATTGTCCTGAGCGGCGAGGTAACATTGATTGAAGAATGAAATGAAGGTATGAAAAGCGAAAAGGTGAGAAGTGAGTGGAATTGAAAAGAGTAGAAAATGAAGTTTCAAAATAAAGGTAGGGAATGTTAATAATTTGATTTAGTGTAAAAAGAAGAAAGTTATGGGGTAATGGAGGAAAAAAAGTGTGGATTCAAATTTAACGTGGAATGTTAAAATTTGAAAGTAGGGAGAAGAGAAGAAAAGGAGGAAAATGTGAGAGAGAGAAAAGGGAGGGAAAAGAATGTTTTGTGGGTGAGAGGGTTGTGAAGTGAAGACGATGGATGGGAGGGACCATGCAGAGATCCGTTAAGGATGGCGACGCAGCATGACACGGGCTCCGCGTGAACATTTTAACTGAACCCCCATCCTCTACTAACCCACATTCATGCTGCTCACCCAAAACATTACTTTTTCTATTTATAAATTCTTTTTATATAAAAAAAAAAAAATTGAATACAGTTATTGTTAAGAAAATATTACTGTATTATATATGTAAATAATTTATTTATTTATTAATATCAATAAAAAATAATTAATGATTTATAGCATTATAAATTTAATTTTTACTTTAAAATACTGACATGCATTTAATGTCACTATTTGTAATTTAAACGATTTTTTTTTACCAATTAATATCAGTTAGCCAATGAATACATCTCCTTCCATGTGAAATGAATGAATGTCCTATTAATAAGCCTCATAATAAATTAAAGATATAAAAATTATTAATATATATATACACACATTTGAAAATAAGTCTATACTTTTTAAGTTTTTATAATTAAGATTAATAAAATAAAAAAAAGACACAAAACTTAAGATACAATATCATAGATATTGATTTTGTTAGTATTATTTTTCAAACAAAATTGAAGTTACATCTTAATAATAAGTATATACATTTGGTGTGATTTTTAATTATGTATATATATCATAAGGAAAATTTTAATTTTGATTAAATGACAACACTATCAATAATTAATGATAATGGTATTCTACATTAAATTTGTAATGAAAAAATAGCACACATTTGATTTTTTGTTTAAAAACCTAAAGTTCATAGTTACACTTTGTTATTTTGTAAGAAATATAGTACTATAAAGAAATTAAAAATAGAAATTTGAGGAAAACATATTAAATTACTTGCAGAAGATGCTAAACTATACGAAATAAGTTTAGCATAAAATATAATAATGATTTGAGAAGAAAATGTTAAAGTATATTAAATAAGTTTGGCATAAAATATAATAATGATTTGATCTATGATTGAATTGCCATTGTTTTGTTATGGGGAGGTGTTCAACGATCTTTTGAGAAATAACTTCTTTGTATCTTTTATTTAGAATGTACTTTTTGTACCGGTAATTCAAACAAATATTATTCTAATTAGGGAAATATGGTTCACTTACTTCCTCACTCCATTTTTTTTTCCATGTTTCGATGGGCCTCCAAGGGTTGAGGAAACATATTAATTATAAAGCAATTATTAGTTATTTCTACATTATACAAGGAATTTAACTTAAATATGTAAGGAAACGTAGATCACCTTCACACCAAAAAAACAATTGCAATAAAATAATATAAGTTTTTGTCATTCTTCTAAAATTAAGTAATGTGAGGTTCTGCTTTCATAATTAAGATTTTGTTTCCTTATGACAACACTTTCCTTTCTTAAGTACACACTTACCATTTTAATAATTTCTACTTTTCTACTATGACCCTTTAATTCCTCATGATGATGATATGATTTTCATCTCATCTTATAATTTTCTCAACAATTTGTTTTTTTCATCTTGTGATGCATTACTATATCACATCTTTTGATGCCATACAAGTAAGTGATTTTCAAGATTACTGATTTTTACATTATTAGTGTTATTATCAATATCTAATCATCATTTATAAAGATTATTACTCACAAATAATTTGTTGTTGCATCATTTAAATATTTTGCTTTAAATGATGCAATTTGTTGATAAAAAAAATACACAAAATAACATTATATATAGAAATAGAAAAGGTGAACTATATCGATATTTGAGAGTTGCTTTTGAATGTTATTGATGAAGTACAAGAAAATAAATAGTTAGTATTTATTTTAAGACTGCCAAACCCCTCTAAAAATTAAAAAAAAAAAAAAAGATACTTAACACTTAAAGTCTTGTTGAAAAGAGATTACAAATGTAATGAGATTGATTTGAAGAAAATGACCTCTTGTTATTGAGATATAAAGGATTTGATATTCAAAATAAATAAGTTATATCTTAATTAGGAAGATGAATGTTAGTAACATTCTCTAATACTCTCTTTATTATTCACTAAATTTAATTAAAAATGACATATTTTAGTAGATTTCACATTTCATTTAATGAATTTTTTTTCTTAATTTAGTAGTGGGTTCATCAAACTTTATAGTTTTCAACCTATAATAGAAAGAATATCATTAAGAGAGTGATATTAGCAATTTGTTAATTAGGAATAAGTGTAAAAAATTCTAAATTTAACTGAGATTGATTTATTAGAATATTTTTTCACAGAATTCATTAGAATGAATTTTGAAAGCTAAAATTAAACCAAAGTTTTCCTAATGGTACAATCACAATTTGTTTACGAAAAATATGAAAGGTTTCTAAATCTAAGCTTTGTGTGAATTAATTTATTGAATTCAACGTTTTATAAATAAACATTTTTTAAATTATTTCTAAATGATTAAAACAAAAATCTTTAATAAAGTATAAAATTGAATCTATGACATCTTGGTGTTATGCTTTAAGCATATCTTGAGTTGTAAAAATTAAAACGACATTAAAATTATTCTGAAATTTCAAGAGTTTATCCATAATTTTTAATTATGGGGACAACTAGGAACAAACAAATTGAGATGATCAATGTCCAATTTAAAAAGTTATTTATGATCAATTATCAATCAAGATAATCAATTATTTGTAACAAATAATTGGATAATGATGTACTAGAATATGCTTATATATAATTTTTAAAATTAATAATTCAAGATAATAATTAATTTTTTTATATGGTTGGATCTAACAGTTAAATTTGTATAACTTGTGTTTATATATAATAATTATCATTCAAGATAATTAATTAATTTAATAGTTAGGTCGTTAAAAATTGATGTAAAGTATTAATTATTAAATAAGGTAAGTCTATTAAGACCTGTTCTTGGAGTAAATGGATCTATATATATATATAAACATATACTAAGTGTTTAATGAATAATGTGAGAAAAAGAGAGAAGAAAGATGAAAAAAAAATTTGGTTAAATTATACTTTTAGTTCTTTATTTTTTTTAGACCCAATTTTATTTTTTATCATTTAAAAATTTCAATTTAGTTATTTATGACTCAAAATGCTCATTTCCATCATCATTTAAAAAAATGAGTTGACAACACTAACATTAAAAAAATATGACAAAGGACCAAATCGAAAGTTATTGAAAATATAAATGACTAAAATGAATATATTTAAAAATTTAAAGGATCAAATTAATTCTAAACATAACCAATTATATCTACCTAATTCCCTATACCAAGCCAAATGCAATATAGGAGAAGGGAGTCAAACCAACAAGGTAGTGAAGCCTCCAATTTGATTTTTTGTGAACTAATTTTAGTTAACTATTAAATCAAATCCTTTGACCAACTTTTGTGTGAACTAACTTTAACTATTCATTTTGAAGTAGTTGTCTTTTTGTAGTGACTTTTCCAAATGAAACTTCATATTTCTAATGGGGTTATTGTACATATTTAAAACATTAACTTCATTAAATTATTATGTAAATGCACTTATTTCTGTACTCATAATTGATCCAAAGTTTGTTCAAATTTATTTGATTTTATTGGAATAAATTCTATATTACTTTTAGGTTGTTTCAATTCCAATACCACTTATGTAATTGTGCTAATACTTATTTTAATTTCATCTTTTATCTTTTCAAATATGTTTGATTTGATCCTTTAAGATTTTAAATGGGCCCAATTTCATCTTTCGTATTTTCAATAAAGTTCCATTTAGTCCTTCACAGTATAAAAAATTGTGTCAGTATATATTGTTAATGGTCATCTCGAGTCTTTTTAATGTTGACCACTATGGAATTAATAGAAAATACTATTTTGAATCATCTTATAACCATAAATGACTAAATTGAATTTAAAAAAATAAATAAAAGATCAAGCTAAATCTAAAAATAAAAGAGTAAAAGTGTATCTATCTATATATAAAAAATAAAAATAAAAAATCAAACATAAATTTTATATTATTTGATTTTTCAACCAAGGGTTATGTTTAATCCTATCACCAAAAATATTTTTACCAAACAGAAAATTATTCTTCACTGCCTCTCAAAGCTTAAAATAACAAAAGCTTAACCAAGATTCTTTAAGTTATTATATTTTAGTGTCTCTTCATGCTTAAAACACAACAATCTCAATGCAAAATTATCTAATAAAGTATCGTTTAACAATAAGTCTTTATAGACTTTCACAATATCACAAAAAAAACTTTACACAAATAACTCAAGAAGAGAGGATATGAAACTTTAGTTAAGAGATACAAATCTTTGTGAAAATAAAGTAATGTTAAAGTTCGAAGCTTAGAAAATTATGCAAAAAGTTTATTTTCATATAACACTTTTAATTTTTAACTTTTTTTTTTCTTTAATGAGGCCTTCTTTATATAGTCTTTGGGTAAAAGTATGAGTCTTTAACTAAGCCAACATTTTGACAAATATATGAATTTTGGTCACATAATTCATGATTTCATTTAGTTATTAAAATCGGATCCATCCTCAATTTAGTCAAGTATTGAGTCAATGAGTTAAAATCAAATTAATGTATCAATATTGAAAACCACATAAACTTGTATGTATTAACTTATGAGTTTTTATTGAATATATTGTATATAAATAATAGGCTTAAATATATTTTTAGTTTCTCAAATTTAAAATAAATTATTTTTTAGTTCCTCAAATTTAAAATCAATTTTTTTAGTCCTTGTAATTTGGAGAAAAAAATTTTATTTTAATTTCTTAAGTCACAAGTAACATAACTGACAATAACAGATTAAAACAATTATACAATATCAATTATGTTTAATGTAATATTTTCACTAACCATAATATTTATAAGTAAATTTTGTGCGATAATATTTCATAAATTCACAAACGAAATTTTATCATAAGAATTAAAAAAATATTTGTTTATATTATAAAAGCTAAAAAAAATCAATTTTAAATTTGAGCAATCAAAAATAAATTTATCCCAAATTTTTAAGAGATTAAAAATATATTTAAATTTAAATAATATTTGTGATATATATATACTAAAGAAAAACAGTGAAGTAGTGTTTTTAAAATCCTATGATACTTGGGACTGAATCCCATGCCATACAAAATTTTAATTTGTAGGTTAATTGAAAACAATAACGTAAGCATTGCATTGAGTAAGATGAGCAGATTGCATAAATAATTAAATATCTATCAATCGAAGATGATTTTTCCTGCTAATTTTCTTTACATAATGGTTCACTGACTATTCATCTTTTGGAAAAATTAGATTGGAGGGGTTGATTAAACTCTATTATTATTTGTTAAGGGATGTTTGGCCTAATTTAAAAAAAAAACATAAAACTACAATCAATATAAAAATGGCAATAAAAGTAATAGAAAATAAAAGAATACAAAATCGAATATGTAAATCGTTAAACCATTTCTTCCACCCATTCAATGAATGTCCCATCTTCAAAAGCCGATTCCAACAATCCGCTTCTTTCCCATGGCAATGTAAAGCTCACTTATTTGTCAACTGCTGGGTGGAAAAGCAGCATCATAAAATCCTCTATAATAGTTCCTTTGGTGAAGCAAAACTTAGTGGGGAGGCCCAAGAATGATTATTACCCCCAGTACTAATAAATATATAATTTCAAACAAAAAAGTTGAGCCACAAAAAAGAGATATTCTTCCTTCACATAGATACTTTGCATTAGTTGAGTTACCAAGCAGGGGTCGCACTATCAAGTAATCATTTGTTTACATGTTATCGATGATTAATTAACTAGTTAAAATAATGTAGTTAACTATTTATCTAATTAAACATAAGTCATGAGGCATTAAAACTTTTTAAGGGTAGCGTAGAATCCACAGAGCATACGGAACTACTACTAACATTTCCTGCCACTTACTCAAATTTGGTTTGCTTTAAAAACAACGAAATTTGACAATATCCTCTATTTGCAATCTGTAGCGATTGGTGCACCGTGCACGACTACAATAAATAAAAACCAACCCAGTTTAGGAAACAGCACATTGTATTGATCAATTTGTCGTTTATTGTTCTTTCACTTTAAAAAAAATAGGATCAATCCTTGTCGACATACTTCATCACCATTCACTACACTGTCAATTAGCAGGATTTTTTTTTTTTGAAAAATCCAATGTAAAACAACAGAGAAAAACAATGCACCGAGGTATTGATAATTGTTATCTTCTGGCTCATCAAAATAGAAGCACATTCATGTCGACAAATACTCAAGTTTCACCAACATTTAGAAACAAATTTATGTCAACAAATAAAGGACCAATTGGATGGGTATGGTAAACTATAGCATGAAAATGAACACTACATTTTTACAGAAGTTGGAAATCCTTTCGCATGCAATGGAAGCGAAGTATATATCAGTAGAAGTTCTACCCATACAATCTTGCTTCAAAGTACACCATGGCTTTCCGATATGTAACAAATTTCTAAAGCCAACTCTACAAGAAGCTCAAAAAACAAAAGAGGACAGTTGTAAATGTAAGCATCAAGAAACATGAATTAACAAATTCACCCCGCTTGCCTTATCTTGCTTTGGTGCAGAAAATAAGTGTGTTTATACCATCAATCCTTCTTCATGCAGCTTCGGCTGCTGCCCCTTGGGGCAACTTCCCACAAATCTTTCACGTTCCGCTTCCAAAATTGAATAAAGTCATGGGCAACTTTGCCATCTCATGTCTCTGAGTCTTCTTCAACAGTAGGAAGACCCCCTTCTCTAATAAATGATGGGTTGAGAAACTTGGCCACAAAAGCCCACAATTTATACACATCCTCAAAATTAGTCAGAAATCCCAGTGAAGCTGTAACAACTTCAAGCCTTACAAAACTACCTTTTCCATCGCGCCTACCATTCTCCATGGGCCTGCAAAGAGTTGTGTCTTGAAGATTCGAAGCTCCACGATGCTGTCTTGAGCTATCAAGAATCTGTATATGACTAAGAAAACCAAGACCTAGAGAGATTCCTTCTTTTTCAGCCAGCTTTTGAACAATCTCTGGATTGATTAGCCCCCTGCTTCTGTCCCTCACATTGAAAGCCACAGCTGCACCTCTTTCATATTTTATTTTTGGGCCATAGATTTGCACAAGATTTGCCTTTTCACCCTCATCAGAAACAGGCAACTTCAGTTGCAGTAATGAGGTAACAAGCCAATTTATCAAAAACCGAAGTCTAAGTGTAGTTTTATTGAGACCAAGCATATTGACATGATCAATATGTCGACATGCAATCTCTGGTTCCCTCCTGCCCCAATCCTGTCCATCACCATATTCTCCATCACTAGTCACCTCTTCATCATCTACACTAGCTACAGATATGTCCCCTGGCTCTAGGGTCTGGCTCAGGTACTCTTTACGATTATCTTCCATGCTAAAAGACACTCTTCTTCCCCTGCTGGTGGCTTCATTCTCTTCCAAACCAAAAAACCTTCCACCACCATAACGATTCCCCTCTCTCCTACCCAACAACCTGAATTCCCCTTCAGTTTCCCTTCTTATGGCACTCTCTTTGACATCGGCACATATTCCAGAGGTAGAGCCATTCTCCAAGCTTTGTTGCCGAGCAAGAGACGTTGAATTGTTGAGCCAAGACCCATTATTGACTGCTGCACTGGTTCCAGGTTCTTCCATGATCTCATTGGCATGCATATGATCTGACCCGTTACCATTTCTTGAATAATGATCCTCTTCCTGGACATGCTCTTCCTCAGGTACCTCTTTGACTCGGTCTAGTTCCTGTGACATCAGGACAGCAGCATCAAATGACAACACGCGGCGGTCCTCTTGAGCACCAAGGTTTACCTCTCTGTCATCATACAGTGGGCTGCCGTACATCTTGGAAGTTGGTTTTGGAGAATGTTGCTTCTGGTTCTTCCTCACATTGAACCAGAAAGGTGGTAGGGGAGAAGCTATCTTATGTTTATTTGGTTGACCTACACCGTCAGACCCCACTGGACTCTGACCCAAATCAATCCAAAATGAATTGTCTGATGACTCGTCCTCACTGAAGACTGGACTCTTTATCACCTCTCCCACAGATATGCTCTCTGTCTCCTCAAATATGGTGCTAGTTCCATCTCTTTCAGAGCTGTCTTGATCCATTTCAGTCTCGAACACATCTCTGACCTGTGCAGATGTGAATGCACCAGAAAAGGCAGGCAACTGAGTTCCTGGACGAGTTTCAGAAGCCTTATCACCCATCCCAGTGATTTCATCATCTTCAATCCCAACCAATTTATCCAAACCATCAACAGAATCACTCAAATACATTGGAAACTCAGGGGTAATCTTCACCATTCCAGATCCAGTACAACCAGACTGATTTTGAAGGCTTTGCATAACTGATTTCTTGATCAGAAGACAACCAAAACCTGTGGGATCATATCCAAAAACCCTGTAAAATGACGTAATTATAAAATCTGGCCGAAATAGGGACAAGCCAAGTGAATCCATGTCCTTGGGGCCCAATGATCCAGCATCCAGTAAGACATGCCAGTTGTTCTGCTGGGCCAATGCCATCCACTGGTAAGAATACTTCGCCCCGGTTACCCTAGACTGCACAGGGAACACAAAAAGACCAGTAGCTGAATCCTTCTTCCTCTTCTTCTTGTTGGAAATCTGTTTTCTCAAATCTGTGGAACAGAGTTTGAGGGTTGGCCATTTAAACCACGCACTGTACACTTTAGCACCTTTCTCCCTGGCTTTCTGAGCCATCCAAGCAACAGACTGGCTCTCATGATCGAACATGGTCAACAACTTTTTGTTTGTATGGAAAGGGTATGATTCAGCCAACAATTTAAAAGCCGATCCTCTACTAACAGTGAAAACAAGGCCATATTCATTCTCAGGGATATTCAAATAGTCCATAATTCTAGTCTTTATATCATGCTCAACAGTTCCTCTCTCAGCACCACCATAAAGTGCATGGTTACTCAAATTTGCAGTTATCTCAGACAAGCTAAACGTGGATGACTCCCAATAATGAATTGTCTGAACAAAAGAGAAGAGTCCAAAACCACAGTAATCAAGGCATACCTTGGGTGACAAATGTGAGTATTCATCAGACCTCAACTCATCAACCTTCTCCGAGGACTGGTACTTGGGGTACATAGTGAGGAACTTGGAAAATGCTTCCTGAAGGCTGGGAATTTCCTCCTCAGACTCAAAGATGCGCTCGGCAGCGAGGGCGGTGGCGCGAAGAAACTCGCGGTGGGCGTGCAGCCTGGCCAGCGATCGGGATCTTCCAAGGCCATCATCCTGGTTGGCAGCAGAGTCAGGGTCCATGTCTTGAGATTTGGGGAGTGACCCATCTTCAGAAGCTTCTTCAAGAGCCTCCCTCAGCTTGTTCTCTTGCAGCTTCCGTAGCATTGATGGATTTCTCCTTGTGTCACCATTGGATTCATCTTTCCTCCTGCTCTTCTTGTCCATGATCAGTGCAGCACAGTGAGAAATGGGCTTCCATAGTGAGAGATGCATTATTCCTTCCTCCTCTCCTCACACAAACCAATATCGGATTATTTGAGACACTTGAAAGTTCAAACAATACAAACAAGAGAGGGCTTAGTTTAGCCCATCAACCTACATAGCAAATTGAGCTTCAAATCCTTCGCTAACAAAATCTAGCAAGATAAGGAACCCGGAATCTTTAAAGACCGCACCACCCCAACAACCCAATTCATGAAAGATGAGACTTTTGCTTGAGAAAAATCAAAACAAACAACTCAGCTCACCATTTCACGCGAAAACCAACGAAGACAAAAGAAAGCTTTTATTTTGTGGAGAACCCATAATAGATTTCAATATCCAATTCCTCAGAAAAGGAGAGAGACAGGTAACAATGGAAAGAAACCCAAGAAAAGAGAAAGTCAAAAGCTCAAACCCTAGAACCCAGATCCCAAAATTTGCAAGGCAGCTCACTCACAACATGAAGAAAACCAACAAAGTAAAAGAAGAATTGTGGAGAAATGGGTTTGAGGGAGAATCAAACGACAAATAATAGAATCATGAAGCACAATCAGTAGCCAGACACAATCCACAAAACACCTGAATAGCCATCAAAGGTGAAGGAAGACCCTCTCTCTCTCTCTCTGTTCTCTCACTCTCTCTCTTCAATTCACTGCAGCATAATTAAAGCAATGCGTCCCACAACAAATTCTCTTTTTACTATGAGAGAAGTAAAACCAAAAACGAAACGGTTTGATATCTCCACTGTACTATTTTCTTCTTAAATTGAAAAAGAAAAAGTAAAAAAAGAAAAAGTAAAGAAATTTCAATTCAGAGTAACCCCGTTGTCCTCTCTCTCTCTGACCCCAAAACCTCTTTCAACTCTTGGAAAACAACCCTTGCTTAGCACCCACCCACTGTAGGTGCAATTCCGTTTTTAAATTATCGGATAGAGGTGGAAAATTGGAAATTGGAGATGCTAGTATTTGGTGACTTTGGTTACTGATATATTTGTTTAAGAGAGTGATGCAATCTGTAGTACGTCCTAACACTCCAACTCATTATAATTTATTAAAAATTATAAAAATTAAGAAAGAGACGTTAAATATTAAATAATGTGTGAGATTCATCAAATTTAATTTTTTTTAATAAATTTAAATTAATCAAAGAAAATATGTTTAAAAGATTATGACAGAGAGAATACTACTAATATTTTTTAATTTGTTTAATTTAAAAATTGAAAAAAAAATTAAATCTATAAATATAGGCATTATTTATAGTTTTATTTTTAAAAAATAAATATTATAAGTAGTGTTTCACATGATTGATAAATAATTTTGCATCTTAAACATGTATTTAGAGATTTAATATATAACAAAAATTATTTAAAAATTTACATTAAATACATTTCAATATTTCAAGAACTTAATTTTTAATTTTCAATCGGGAATATTACTAAAAAAAACAACCAAAGCATTCATCGTGTTTTTTTTTTAAAAAAAATTTGACGACCTCCTTTTTTTGTCTCTTATGATTGTGTTTTTAAAGTTATATTGAATATATAATGTAATATAGTAACAAAATATAGAACATAAAATTTAAACGTGGATTAAAAAAGACTACAAATATATTAAAAAAAATGTAGAAATTTAAATGTAAATTAAAAGGTAATACAAAACAAAAACAAAATATAAAGACAAAAAAGCAGTAGTAAGATGATATTCCATGAAGAGATCTCTTTTTCTGGCGTAATGGATGAACTCTTCGACGTTATTCTATTTGTTGTGTTCGTTCACTTTTTATTTTAACATGTTCTACTTGTGTTTATTCATCTTTTGTTTTAACATGTCTTTGGGAAAAAAAAGAAGTTATTATTAGTATTATTATTATTGTCCTCATTGGTATCATTTTTTTTTTCATCTCAATTTCTTTCTCTTATTGATGAGGTATTACAAGATGATAATTTTCTAACAATAGTTGTTGGTATGCCAATGTGAAAAGAAAAAAAAAGTAATGGTAATCATGAATGAAATTGATTCAAAAATATTAAAACTTTTTTCTTATAATAAAATATTAAAACTTAAAAGATGTTAAAAGAAATATAGAATGCATATGCAAATCGTTAATAAAATACCAAACTTTAACTTCTTCTTTTTTTAATTCCATTATAAATCTAAAAGCGCAAGACATGTTTACTAGCACCCTTTTTTTAATTAATGAAATATTTTAAACATTAGAAATGAAATATGTTCTAAACAAAATTCAAAACCTACATAATTATACGAAAAAAATAAAACACAGTTAATTAACTAAATTGTATAAATTTATAAAGTACATTGTTAGAAATTTTAAAATTAATAAAAACACTATAATTGAAAATTACATAAATGCAAGTCCAGTTTTATATACATGATGTATGGAATTTTTATTTTTTTAAATGTAAGTTGTATCCGGATATATGACTTGTACATTTTTTAAATTAAACAAATATTTTATTGAAGCACGACACGATTTATCAATGCTATTTCATTAACAATATCAACGTGTTACAGCCATTTAATATTTTTTATAAACTGTCATAATTCAGTTTAAAAAATTGTTGAATGTTAGCTATTTTCAGTCAAAAGTTGGAGAATAGTCTTTAAAATTATTGAGATTTATTTTAAAAAATAATTTTCATCAACAATTATTTTCTAACCATAGGTCAACTTAGTAATAAGAAATCGGAGTAATTTATACAAAATTTAAAGATTTTTTCTTTATAAAAAATCATGCACGTGAAATTAAAAATTAAACTAATTATATACCTAAGAAATATGGTTAATACCGATTACCAGCCTCTGGTGAGAGGGACGTTGACCATTGCAAAAATCAAATTTGTTATTAGTAATATTAAAATAAATTTTCGAATATGGTACTATTATTTAGGAAATGAGGTTCTTTTGTCTATGTTGGAGGTGGGACCCACAAACTGAATCATAGCAACAAAGTCAAACAATCAGCTGACTTGTAAAAGTTGTTATCTGTCCAAGTGGGCAAACCACAAAGTCCAGAGCTCCCGGATCCCTCAATAGCATGGATTTGTGACTCTAAAATCAAACGGGATCGTACTAGTATTTTAATATAGAATAAATATTCATTTTAATATAATTAAATTTTATTATTTACTATTATATAAATTTATTGAAACAAATATTTTTAAAAAAAATTATTGTTACTATTTATTTTAGAAATTTTCTTTAACAAGAATATTTAAAAGATTTTTATTGTAAATTTTAATTGTACTTGTCTGAAAGTACACAGATAAATATATGATGTCAAAGTTTATGAACAGATAGCTTCAATGGATAGAGTATTTAGAAAATAACAGAAATAGAGAGGCGGCTAAGAAACATGAATTTTCACCATCAACTGCGTCCACTCCACTACCTCGGCTTTACACCAGAGCTCACCCTGATCACCTTCACCGACGACGACTACGCTGGCGTCAGCCCCAACCAGGATGACCCCATGGTCATCACCGTTGAAGTTGCTAATTGGGAGGTCCACAAGACACTGATTGACCAAGGAAGCTCGGCCGACGTCCTGTATTGGCCAACGTTCCTCAGGTTAGACATCCCTCACTCTCTCATCCAACCTCACATAGAGCCCCTAGTCAGTTTTACAGGAGAGCGAGTTCACACTCGGGGGTACGTGGACCTGCTAACAACATTCGGGACCTCTCCAGACACAAGGCAGATTATGGTCCGGTACCTCCTCGTGGAAGCCAACACTTCCTACAACATAATCATTGGGAGGCCGACCTTGAACCAACTCGGAGCAGTGGTGTCCACCCCACACCTCACCATGAAATTCCTAGGGAATGGTGGGAAGATTATTTCTGTCAAGGCAAACTAGAAGACAGCTCGGCAGTGCTACACCGAGAGCTTGAAGATCTCTTCGTCTAGCGAACAATGAAAAAGGGACCCTCCCACCGTGGCTCACATCAACCACGTGGATATCGGTGATCTCGATCCGAGGTACGACTCCCATGATGAGCGACCAAGTCCCATTGACGAGCTCGATGACCTCCAGATCGGAAAACTCCCGGGGCAATGCACAAAGATCAGCAGGCAGTTGAGCCTGGAGTTACGACAGCAGCTCGAGGCTGAAGTCCTCAAGAATGCCGACCTCTTTGCCTGGTCCAGTGCAGACATGCCAGGTATCGATGCTAACTTCATCTGTCACAGGTTAGCAATACATAAGGAAGCGAAGCCAGTAGCTCAAAGGAAGCGGAAGGTTGGGGGCGAAACGTGGTTTTGGTGAAAAAGAGCTCGGGCAAATGGCGCATGTGCGTCGACTACACCGACCTGAACAAGGCATGCCCCAAGGACTTGTACCCATTGTCGAGTATCGACAGGCTGGTTGACGGGGCATCCGGGCACGCCCTCCTCAGTTTCCTCGACGCCTACTCCGGGTACAACCAGATCATGATGTACCCACCAGACGAGGTGCATACGTCGTTCATCACTGACCGCGCCAATTACTATTACAGAGTAATGCCCTTCGGCCTCCAAAACGCAGGGGCCACCTACCAGCGGCTGAGGGACAAGGTTTTCCACCAGCAGATCAGCAGGAACATGGAGG